CAGAGCTGAAAAATCCATTCTCCTGCCGAATCAATATATTGTCTATTTGAGTGTCTTTTTCAATATGTATTTAAGTTGGGTCCAGCCAACTCCCATCTGGCTCTATGCTATGGAACAGGCAGTCAAACTATTACATCTCCTTCTCCTACTGCATGGATGACTCTCTGTTTTGGGTACATGGGCATTGAATCTCTTATTCCTTTGGGACAAGCTCACATGTGATCCCTTCAGTCGTAGCTGTATGACCAATGGATCATCCAGTCTCCTTACTCAGGAGTAATATCTTAAGTCTCGAGTGGTGGTTGGATCAGAACAACACGACAATAGATGTTCTTATATCACCCCCTCGTCATGAGGTTCATCTCTTCACAGATGCATCACTTCAGGGATGGGGTGTGTATATCAATGGTCAGGAATTCCAGGATCTATGAATGGATGACAAATTTTCCTTCCACATCAATATTTTAGACTTCTTGGTGTCCAACGGGCAATGGCTCAAAGTCTAGCTCTATTGAAGTGAAAAATCGTCATGGTCCATCCCAAGAATTCCATGGTGGTATTTTACATTTCCTGTCAAGGGGCATGCGTTCTCGGGAGCTTTGTTTTTGAACTTGGGATATTCTCCACTGGGTTCACTCCCATCATATCAGCCTCCTAGCTTGCCATGTTCTAGGGGTGATGAATTTAATAGTGGATCATCTGTCTCGGCCCAACTGAATTCTCCCGACCAAATGGATGCTATGTTGTGAGGTTTTTTAGTGGATATGCTTTCAGTTCGGGACTCCAATGTTTGATGCATTTCCCACTCATTGGAACACTCAACTACAGGCATTTTGGTCTCTGGTACCTCATCCTTTAGCTTTCGCAATAGATACTTTCAGTCAGAACTGGATGGGATTGCACCTCTTATGCCTTCCTCCCAATTCATCTGTTACCCAGAATTCTGGCCATGGTTTGATCCAATTCTTGTCAAGTGCTTTTGATAGCTCTGGATTGGCCAGCCCAATAATGGTTTCCTCTTGTTTATTATCATCAAAAGTGTCCACCTCTGCCACTTTCTCTTTGGCCATCTCTTTTGAGGCAAGCTCAATCCAATATTTTACACCCAGACATTCTGAAGCTCAAACTTCATGCATGGAAGTTATGCAGTCTTTCTCACTACATTGGAGTTTAACTTCTAAGGTTGTCTCGTATTTGTCTCAATCTCTTTGTTGACACACAATGGCCATTTATCAACAGAAATGGCACACTTATTGCCATTGGTGTCTTATGAGGAAATTGAACCCACTTCACACAGATGTGTCAACCACTTCTCGTTTTTTGACCTGTCTTTTTTACAGAGATTTAGCTTTGTCTACTATCACCTTACATAAGGCAGCTTTATTGACTACTTTTCAGTATTATAAACATCAGAAATTCTTGAGTCTCCAGTGCCATCAGATCTTCTCAAATTATTTTACATCCTTTGTCCCAAAGCTCCTTTTCTATTACCTAACTGGTATGTTAAGGTGGTATTACATGCTTTATCTCGACATCCATTTGAGCCCTTAGCCTCATGTACTATGTATCACCTTTCTCTTAAGGTGTGTTGTTTGTTACTGATGGCCTGTGGACATCGTAGGTCTGAATTGTTTGCACTACATGTGCACAGGACTCTTTATCACTGTACTTATGTTCTGCTATGTCTAGATAGGTCCTTCCTTCCTAAGACTCTGGCAACCAGGGAAGGGAATAAATTTTTTGCACCAGTTAATTTGCCGGCTATTTCTCACCTCTATGACTGCTTGGATCTCAATCATTTGTTGTGTCCCGTCTGGGCTCTGAGGTGTTATGTGGCTGCCACTAACTCCTTTTCAGATGCTAGAAATCAGCTGTTTATTCATTGGGATCCTTCAGTTTCCTGCCATTTACCTCCGACTACCTTGACGCTATGGGTGCGCATATTGATCCATATTGCCTGTTCTGGACTATATTTACAGGCGAGTAAACTTCTGTGAGTCATGTCTCATCAGATTCATCACATTTCTATGTATTTAGCTGCCCAATTGAATTACCTGCTGGAGTACATCGTGCAGGCTGATATGTGGACTTCTCTCAATACTTTTCTTTTACATTATTTACAGGATCCAGTAGTTTCTTCTTCTGAAGGTTATTGCCTACCCCCTGTGGCCATTTTGACCACATCTACTAGTTTATAAGAAAGGGTATTTTTTTACTCCTCTTGTCTCTTTTACTTTCCAGTGCCCCTTACTTCTTTTTCTTACTGGATCCCACTCTGTGGCGAGTATTACCCAGGCAGGTTTGTTTTAATCAATCCAATTCTGCTCTAGCAACTATTATTTCACTATATTTACTACCAGTTGCAATTGACTCTGTAGAAAGAATGTGTTCCATACAACCATCTAGGAGCTCACCAGGTGGTATTACCATACTATGCTGGATTGCCACTCATGGACTATCATGAGTAAAGCTAAAGAGGATCCTGCCAATCAGTGGGTTGTATAAATTGGGGTCAGTTTGCTTTTAAAAATTTAGGGAACTTCATTCACCTATTGCACTGTTTCTAGAGCACTGTTCCTCAGTGCTCCCCAATGCACATTACCTCCCAGATTCTACTAGTGGAGCTAGGGAGTCCTTACCACTCCTGGTTTCCAGTCACTAGGGTGATGGACTGAGGTTATTCCTACAGAGTTTTTGAGTGACTTTCCTACACTCTTGGGGAAGTGTGAAAAGTTTGGGGCCCTCCTACCTGGGAACCTGGATGTTTTTTTCCAGATGTCGGTAGGAGTGGCATCAACCAGTGCAAGAACTTACTCATAATACTGGTTCAGGTTTGATGCTTGGCTATCCAGTTGAAGTGTGCATGGCCCTTCTTTTCGACCAATATTGGCTCAGTACATTGTTTATTGAAGGGGGTCCACTATCTCTTCATAATTCTAAAATGTGGAGTGGTCCCATCCTGGGTCCTTGGTTGAGCACATTTGTTCCATGCCATCCCAGTAATTCTGGGGGCAAGTGGAATTTTTCCTTGCCTACTCAGTTGGGGAGTGAGGATGAATGTTCATAATTCCAGACCAGATGAGTTCTATTCCTTTGGTTGAGTAAGGCATACACAATCCCATCAACCTTTCAGGCTTCTTCAGGTGGAGGAGAAGGTTTGTCCATTTCGGTGTTGCTTACTTTCTCGTCATGATTCTGGTGGTTTGGAACTCATCACTCTATGGCTACAGGTTGGGATTCAATTAATAGTCTGTATTGCCTTAACCAGCAATGTGGGATATAGGGACCAAGATCCCTTAATTTCACCTTGGCTGTCTGGTTGGGACTGGCTTATAGCAATGATCACTCACGTACAATTCCACTGTTGACACAGGAACTACGTTCAGGGTGAATAGCATACCTGTTCTGGATATAGTGCGGTTACCCCAATCGGGTATCAATCTTATCTTGATACACCCATGATCTATGCAGATGCTTTCTGTATGGATAATGCCCTCACCAGCCCCTCCACCTTGTCAGTGTGGGATTCTAGCTATAAGAGTCAGTGGAGGTAAGTATGTTTTGAAAGTTAACATTTTCTTAAACATAAAATGTATTTCCAATAATACTTACCTCTTCTGACACTCTCCTGCCCTTCCTCCCCACTTAGAGCTGGTGTTAGAGATTGGGATGGTGTCAGTCTTGAAAAAGTACTAAAATTATGTAAATGAGGTACTTGTATACAGTACCAGGAGAGATGGTGCAATGATGTAGGTGGAGAGTATCATGAGACAAATATTACCAAGGGCAATTGAGTGGGGTAAAAAAGACTGGAGCAAGGAAGACAAAAACAGACCAACGCCTAGATGGGCAAAGAAGAAACCTTGGTGGTCGAGCAGTAGCTATAAGTGTCAGCGGAGGCAAGTATTATTGGAAATATATTTTCAATTTATAAAAATGTTAACTTCAGCTCTTAGAGAAAATAATGGTCATTTCACATCTCGGTTATGCTTTTTTAAGACAACATGAAATGTTAATTGTGCTTGTTCTGGTAAAGAAACAGTCGGAGTTTGTTATGTTTTCAGTCATCTTTATCACAAGAAAAACTTGAGAATATTAGTAGTTTTGAAACTGCTGAAATTCATGACTTAAAACCTCAAACCATAAATAAACAACATAGTGCTTCATTGAAGGAAATTAAAGACATTTCACAAAAGCAGGTAAAGAAAATATCTTTGGTCTTAGGCCCACATAAAATAATAGTCTAGTGAAGACTTGTTTCATCGTTGAAAAGAAAGTTCCTAACATTCAGTAGAGCAGAAACAATTGGAATTTCTTGTAAAAAAACAATACTGATGCTAATTGGAAAGAAGCTTGACCTCACTTGGAATTTTAAAACATATTAACATATAAGTAGTTATTTTTATGTATTTAGTACAAAAATATGTGAATCTTACTTAAACCATCAATATTAATCTTAACATGTGAATGTAAGTTGTTTTGTTTTTCTGCATAACAAGGAATTTCAAGTGGAAAGACAAACCTTGTTTCTATTTTTAGAAATCCTGTATTCATATATTAACATTAATATAGGTGTTAATATATTAAGATTAATATATTTTTTTCAAATAAGAAATGAATGTATAAAAATATATTTATATGTGAGGATTTTTAATATATATTTGATGTAAAATATCTGAAAATAAGATATTATCCTAGCAAACGTTAAAATGCTAGTTCACCCCAAAATGTTGAAAAATATTACTAGTTAATTGAAAATAAAGATGTTTTTACATATCTGCTTACTCTTGGGAAATGTTTTCTAGTTGATGAAGTGTATAAGTAAATATACAGTAGCAGTTATTTTCAGATATAACAGAAAGGGTACAGGATATCCAAGAAAAGCATTTTCATCTGTTTCTGTGTAAAAGAAGCCTATATTATTACAAGGTTTGTGCTGTTCATCTTTAAAATTCTGGAAAAAAATATTAGGTTGTGATTTTATTTCATTTTTTTTACAGAGAAACATGAAGGCTGTTCATCCAATTTATGAAAACTTGTTTGTTAATTTAATACAATGGAAAGATGAACAACTGAAGTCTGTTTTAAGCATTGAGGTTTGTTTTTTTATTTCTTATTGCCTAGCGTAACACAGGAACAACTGAAGTTTGTTTTATACATTGGGGTTGGCAGTTTTTGTTATGCCTAGTCTGATATTAGAACAGTTGAAGTTTGTTTTAACTATTGGAGTTGGTTATTTTTCTTATTGTCTAGCCTGATACTGAAACAATTGGTTTTTGTGTTAACCTGAGGATGTGTTATTTTTCTTATTGCTTGGCCTAATAATGGGACAAATGAAGGTTGTTTTAATCATTGAGGTTTGTTTTTCTTATTGCCTAGCATGATACTGGAACAACTTAAGTCTATTTTAAGCACTGAGGTTGATTATTTTTCTTATTGCCTAGCTTAATACAGACTTACTACATGGAAAAGCTAAGATATGAATTATTTTTTCTCAACTAGTTATTTTTTTAACCTATAAATTCTTTCCTAATTTTAATGTTACCCTATTACAAACTGACTATAGATAAAAATCTATTTAGTCTTCTACAAAGAAAGATAATTAATAAAAGTTAATTACAACTTTGGGGCTAGATGAGAGTGATTTTTTAATCTTTTTGAATTTTAAGCATTTGTGATCAGTTCTACACGTGCTATACACCACTAAAGTGTTCTTAATTTTCTTAGCTATTTGTATACAATTTGTGAATTTTATAAGAAGTTATGTGGAAAATATAATGATAAAATTTAAAATGTGTTTACTTATAGACAGATGGACCATCACTTCTTCTCTGCTTCATGATGCTGGCAATGGTTGTTATGGTAACTCTTCTAGCCATATGTCAGAGGAGATTTCTGAGCTGGTTTCAGCTTTATCCACGTCGCAGGATTGTTAGTTTGAAGTCACTAAGCACTAGTCTCCACATTAGTTGACGTTTTGCCCCTATTCATCAATGGTTTGATTTCAAGAAATGAAGATTTTGGATTAACAAGTTGATTAATGATTAAGCTGGCCCAGAATTTTATTTTATTGTCTTCTAGATGTAGGAGTTTGGAATTCAGTTTGTAGGTATTATTAAGATAATTGCATTTGGAAGAACAGAAGTATGTATGTAAAACAATATAGGTTGTGAATCCCTAAGAGAAAGGGTTTCTTTATTCCCAGGGATTGAGGTTATTTTATCTTCTCCAAATATAATGTGAAAGATGTATAATTTTACTGCCTTATCAACTTGTGTGTTGAAACTATAAATCAGTGTGTCACATATGTAAATACCAGAAAAGTATGTGATGTTTGTGTATACAAGAAACTATGACATGTAGCTCTAAGATATAAAGTTAGAAAAGTCCTATTAACTGAAAAGTATTGGTATTTTATTATAACATAATAGATATTGAATGTGAGCCTGTGGTATCTTAAAACATCACAAAACTTAAAACGTTTTTCAGGTTTTTATTTCCTGTGAAGAATCAAAATACAACTTCAGAAATTTGAGTTGGAAACATTTTGTCAAAGAATAGGATGTATTAATTTCCTTACATTTCAATTTCATTATTTTAGTTTATATTATGGTTACCCAAGGAGTTGTAATTTTCTTTGAACTGATGGGGAATCCAAAAAAACAAAAAATATTTCTGTTAATATTGTTTTTCTTTAGGAAAATTTATCTTTCAAAATAACTTGAATTGTGATTGACATATTTTTGAATTTTTCTTTCATTATTTTATATGTATAAAAATAATTCTGATTATCTCTGTTTAAAAGATAAAGTTTTCATACACTGTTTTATTGATACACTTTGAAGTATGGAATCAAAAGGTATTTCTATGGTTGGAAAGAGTGTAGCTTCTATACACCATGTTTTGTTGGATGCTTTCCGACTGATGGATTAGTGGGGTGGAGTGTAAGAGCATTACTTTTATACATCACTCTTGGTTGGATGTTTCCTATATGCTGGACTAGTGATGTATGATAAGCATTGTGGTGGGATTGAGTATAAAGGCATTACTTCTATACATCAAATTTATTGAATACTTTCTTATTGCTGAATTTCTGGGGTGTGATGAGCATTCCAGTGGGATGGAGTGTAAGAGCATTGGTTGTATACACCACATTTTGATTTGCACTTTCTCACTGTTGGATTAGTGGCTGATGATGAGAATTCTAGTTGGGTGGTGTGTAATAGCATATATAACACATTTATTGGACACTTTCTTACTGCTGGATTATTGGTGTGTGTCATTGGACGCCGACTGCTGGACTAGTCTGGGGGAGTGGAGTGTAAGAGCATTGCCTGTAAATATCACATCTGTTGCATGTATATGATTTTAGTTTGGAATGTTAATGAGACCCCAACCTCTAAAAATCATTTTGTAGAACAATAAAAAGTGAACTTAGTTCATAATGATTTTTTTTACATATTGTGGTAAAGTTAAAACATTTCAGTTCACTTTTACAAACCTAACTCCATATACTGCCAAGTTTATCATACATTCTTCCTTTCATGGGACCAATCTGCAGAAGCAGGTAAGTACTGGTAAAGACATTGCTTATTATATAGTTATAATCTTTACATTATTTATGATTATCTAAACCTTTAAAGCAAATTTGTAAATTTAAGCCAAACATTTTATTGAAGATATCTTGTTCTATCAAAACTTTGAAAACAACCTATAATTACCACATGTAGTGTCAATTATAACAAAATTAAATTAATACATTTGGTATACACATTTGGTGATTAAGGTTTGGTCATGTGGTTTAACGTACCATTTGCTTCTTTTTCTTTACTACAAAGTTGTCTAGAACAATGTCTCGTCTCACACGTCTTTAATGAGGGTCATATGTACCAAACCATTAAGTTGTTTCATTCTCATTTTACTCTGTAGACATGTTTTAAGGTGCTTTAAGAAACTAAAAGATCATTCAGCTTTGCATGTTGTGACCAGAATGTGAAAAAAAAGCACAAAAAAACAAAGCTTATGAATTGATAGAAATTGTTTTCACAAAGATTGAGAGTCCTTGCAACTGAAGCTTCAGTCTTGCTTCTGTTTTTGATCCACCTGACCTTCCACTTCTCTAGGTCACTTTGCAGTCATCCATCGTAGAAGCTGACAAGTTACTTTATACTCTCTTTGAACTGTACTATATCAAGATCAGGTGCAAATTTTGTAATCAGCTTCTGAATATTAAAACAAAATATGTATCTAGTTCTTGAGTGAGAGAATCAATATAACAAACAGTTCCTTATTGAAGTACAAAAGTCTAATTCTAGGCAAGGATGGTTGAAAACTGACACCTATCAACAGCTTACATGCCTTTTTGTAGATCACAATGAATGTTCTGCACATATATCTATTCAGGGTGTCAATGCAGGTTTCAGTGTGGTTGCAGCTCTCTAGCAAATCTAATTTTTACTGCTGCAAGTACTTAGATGATGATAACACTAATCCGCTTACTGCCGCTGCTGAAAGCATAGACATAATAAAACTCTACTAACTTATTACACTGGCTAAAATATTTGCTTTCCCATTTTATTTTGTCATTTGAATCATTGACAATCTGCTCCAAGACAGTTCCAATGACTTAGTATATCTAAACAAATACAGTGACACACTCAGGTTGCTCCACCTATCATATTTTGCAGTACTAGACTAGTTTTTTGTAAGTGCTTTGAATGATGTTTTCCAAATTCTAGCCTTGGTATGCTTAATTCAAGAAGAAAAGAGAACAACTGTCTCATGTATAGTCAGAAAAAGTTGTTTGTATCAGAGGAACAGCAGAAGTTTACAACAAACCAAGGTTCAGACTATGCAAAATACACAAATATGTGTAGACAATATTGAGTAGAACTTCTTAATTTCTGCCTGACATATTCTGGCCTGACATATTTTGCATTCCATCAAAACCATTGCCAACACATTTTGATAAGTCAAATCCGAAAGCAAGAAGATATTTCACAATCTTATTTCCAAGGCCTTTACCAGTCAAATTTTGGCAATCTGAAAACTGCAATACTTTCTTGGGTTTCCTTTACACTGTCAGAGCTATCATAAAAATGCACACATATAACAGGCTGCTCTTTATTTGAAATGTGTTGTTTTAATGGTCAATATTGAAAAGTAGGACAAAAGAGTTGAGTTTCTTGACTAGCTTTTCAGTTACCACACTGCCATAACTCTTGATCAAATTGTTTTAAACTAGTGGAGCAGTGTACTGGGCATTTTTGATGCAGTCTAAAAATGTTCCTTAAGACTGATCTCCAGAAGCCATCACTAAGTGAAGCAAGCCTTGGGAGATGTCCTCATTTTCCAGTGTTTCCTCTCAATTGTCAGTTGCCTCCTTTTGACGTCTCAGTGGTAATTGGTGTCTGCTGCTAAACAGAATTGTGTCAACAGTAGATACCAGCATTTCTGGATTTTTCTTTTGTATAGCAGCCTTTACCTGATTAATAGTAGTTATTATGTTATACTTTGTGTTTTGATAAAGGCAAATGAACTCGAATGCCAAAGCAGTTGCTGTTTTGTGATTCAAAGTTTTTGTGACTACGAAAGTACATAAGCACTTATTTTAACCACTTAGTTACTAGATGCTCTAAAGCTTGATGTGATTCTTTTCTACTCTCTGTGCTCGCAAAAAGTGGATAAATTTTGAAATGTGCATCTTTCTGACTGGAGTTGAATGCAAGACAAGATTTGAATATTTCTAGGCAGGAGAATTATATACTTTCTTGCCTTTCCTACTCTCAGCTCCATAGACTAAGGAATGAAAATTAGTTTTTTTTTCCAGTTTCCAATGATTGGTTTTTAGATCATATTTCTGCTTGTCCGACAAAGATTTGATGTTAAACTCTGCAAGTTGCCCAATGTCAAGACATGTAAAACTAAGCTCTTCCTGGGAAATTTTGCTCATGGAGTCTGAGGAAACTGATGCTGGAATGGTTTCAGGTTCATATAATTTGAGTTATTTTTCAGGTTCAGCTGGAATTAGCCCATCAGCTGAACCTGAAAAATAACTCAAATTATATTTTCCAAAGCTCGTTAAGTCAGATATTTACAAAAAACAATTCATTTCATTGTTTTCATGATATTTAATTCCTTATTACAAAACCTCTGATGGGCAGTTTATTTCTGAAGTATGGAAGTCAAAAAATCATAGGACACTACTTTCAAATATGGAGAAAATGTGGAACATCAAATTTTGAAAAATTGTTGTACCCCAACTAATTTAGTCCGAAAATAAAGTAATAACTGTAATGTTGACATTCTAAATTTTTCTTTGGGTGTAAGTTTTATTAAATATTTTGTATGAAATAATTAATAAATTGAAACTTTGTCCCTAATTGTTAATTTTTAGCTACTCCTGTGAAGTTGACTTAAATTGTGGAAATAGCTAAATTTCCTGTCAGGGCAGAAAAAACTTGTCATTAGCTGGTATGCCATAGATATGAAGCTACTTTCAAGCTTTCTTTTTAAATTTTATAGTTTAAAAATGGAATTTGTGAAGCCTATGATGTTAAGAGCTGTAAACTTCATGTTTTTTGTAATAAGTTTCTAAAGTTGTCTAAGTCATAAATATATCTCCTGAAACTGTTGTCCTTCTTACAAACAAACTGTACTTAGAGTAGATTTGATCAAAACACATTAGATGTGAAAAAAGGTCCAGTCAAAAAAAGGACTGAGTGTGCAACTTAAAGGACTAAAATTAAAATTGGTGGCCAAACTGGTAGCTACACTTATAGCATTGATAAGAATAGTACAGCAAACATTAATTCACTAGTTAGCCAGACCAATGATCTGTCAAAACATGTAACATGTTCCACCATCAATAAAACTTTTCCTTATGCTTATAAATCATTGTTATAATGGCATAGTAAGTAGCTACTTTATATAGTATTTTTTTTTATTTTATTGTAAGTCATAATTAGACTAAAAAATCAATTTAATGTTTCAAAAGGTGCAATATAAATACCTGTGTTTCAGATTTCATGACATTTATGAGTTATTAATTATAAGTTTAAGTTGGCTATAGACACAAGATAAATAGAAAATTGGGAATTTAAAAACTTGCAAATAGGGATTGTAAAAAGGTAAGGAACCAAGGCTGGAGATACTGTAGACATTAGTTACTCAAACTACAAACCCCTATTTTGACTCCATGCTGTTACCTAGAATTACATTTGATGGAGTCAAAATAGGGATTTGTAGTTTGAGTAAATAATGTCTACAGTATCTCCAGCCTTGTTTTCTTAGTTTTTTTATGATCCCCATTTGCAGGTTTTTAAATTCCCAATTTTTTATTTATCTTGTTTGCTTCCTTTTTTATGCTCAACTATGGGCAAAGGATTACTTAATATCTTAAGTAACTTTATACATTATAATGATAATAAACGTAGCTAGCTGATATGGTTCATAATGATTTACTGTAGCTATTGGCTATTTGATCGCATTAGTTTGAGATGTAAAATGTTAAGCTGCAGCTGGAGATTTGTTTGAAAATATAGTAAACATTTATAGTTTCTGTGTAACTAAATTTTCTACATATAATGCATAGCAATGAAAAATTATACATCTAGACTAAGACACAACTCCCAATAAATGCAAAAAACAATATACCAGTAGAAAAGCAGCATTTTCAAATACAACATATACATTTAAAACATTGCTTTAAATAA